AGAGGGTGAAAAGTGGGGGGGGGGGGGGGTGTGTTCTCACTCCCTCATACATTTGCTCAAGGGACATAAGTTAGTTACATTTTCATTATCATCATCATCGTCATCAGCATTGTCATTACAATCATCCTCATCGTCGTCGTCATTATCGTCATCATCTTCGTCATCATTGTCATCAGCATGTTGGTCGTCGTCATCATCACCATTGTCATCATCACTGGTTTGGGCGTGGGAATGGGAGTGGTGGGGTGGGGGTGGGAATCACTTAGTCACCTTTTACATTATTGTGGGAGCATTCAGACCCCCCTCTCAACCCCCCCCCCCCACCACCACCAACCGCCTGTGCAAATGTTTGTGGGGTTAGCTTAGCACCCCCCCCCCCCCCCCGAACAATCTCTAAAATTATTATTTAGGGGAGGGGCGGTCTTAATACGCCTGAGCGCCTGCGTTCTGCGCCCCTGATCAGAAACGTGAGTAAGAAGTAGTTGATGACGAATAACAAATCAATTCAGATGGAAAAAAGGAGGGGGGGGGGGGGGATTCCTCAACGAAGCATCGATGACGAACGTATCTCTGTTCTAGGTCTATTAGTCAGCGAACGTAATGGCGGGAAGCGGGAGTTTGTAGGGGGCGCGGTTGTGGGATGCGAGGGAGTACAGAGCACTGCAATCATCTGATCGATAAGGGGCAAACTGAAAAGTGTCAATACTGAAGTTGATCCAGAAGCTGCTGGGGGACAAGTGGCGTGATTGGATGATGCCTTCACGGTGTAAATGCTGTCCCTGACATCGATTTGTTGGTTGTGTGCAATTTTGATCTTTATGATCTGGATTAGAATGTGGGTGATGGAGGTGGAGAGGGAAATTTCAGGTAAAGGATCCCTTTCTAGCTTTCAGATGTACCGAGCATTTAAGGCTAGACCTAAATTTTTAGACCAGTGGGCACTCGATGGGTGATGCGGCCAACATGACACCAGCCGCCTTTACTTCGCAGGACTATACTTGGTACCTACTCAAGGCTGGGTCGACCTGGGAGGTACCGTCGTTTTTGAAAAAAAAAAGTCCGGTTAGGTCAGGACCCAGATTTACGACCTTCAAATCCGCAGGCGAGCGTCTAGCTGCTACACCACGGCTGTCTCTTGAGAAGGGGGAAAGGAAAGGGGAAAAGAACGAAAGAAGAAAGAAAGAAAAGAAAGAAAGAAAGAAAGAAAGAAAAGAAAGAAAGAAAGAAAGAAAGAAAAAAGAAAGAAAGAAAGAAAGAAAGAAAGAAAGAAAGAAAGAAAGAAAGAAAGAAAGAAAGAAAGAAAGAAAGAAAGAAAGAAAGAAAGAAAGAAAGAAAGAAAGAAAGAAAGAAAGAAAGAAAGAAAGAAAAAAGAAAGAAAGAAAGAAAGAAAGAAAAAAAGAAAGAAAGAAAGAAAGAAAGAAAGAAAGAAAGAAAGAAGAAAGAAAGAAAGAAAGAAAGAAAGAAAGAAAGAAAGAAAGAAAGAAAGAAAGAAAGAAAGAAAGAAAGAAAGAAAGAAAGAAAGAAAGAAAGAAAGAAAGTAAATCAGAAAGATGGATCCAGAGAGAAAGTGAGACAACAGTATACAGAAACAACGACCGACAGAAACAGAGCCAGGGTATGTGTGCAAATTCTGCTGTTAAAGGTTGTATATGGAGCAGTTCTCTGCAAGTTTGTCGGACTGAAGTTAACTTCAAACTCTCTCCCTTTCGGCGTGATGCTGACCACATCACCCATCTTGTGCCGATTGGTCTATAAAAATATAGGTCTAGCCCTGTGTGCCCTATACGCCTTAAGGCATGGAAAACGGTTCGACTTTACTCTCTCTTTCACACAGTCTTTCTCCTTTTCTCTCAGTCTCTCTCTATCTACTTAATACACACTTAATACACAGACACACACACACACACACACACACACACACACACACACACACACATATATATATATATAAAGCAGTAGTAGTAGGAGTAGCACCCTGCTTGGGAAGCTGAAATATTTTGGTCATATCAAGCGCCACAACGGATTGGAAAAAACTTTAGCAGAAGGCATTGTACCAGGAAGGAGGGGCAGGGGCCGACCGACACGAAGATGGGCACAGGATATAAGTGACTCCTTGAATATGAAAGTATATGAGGCAGGAGAACTGGCGAGAGACCGAGTTTCTTTCAGACAGACTGTGATGAGAGCGACGTTCTGCAAAGGACCTGCTACATGATGATGATGAGTAGGAGTAGCAATAGTAGCAGCATGCCTGTGTTAGTACTGGTACTAGTAGTAATAATAGTAAAAGCAGCAGTAAGTAAGTAAGGTTTACCCCACCAGGAGATCACTCAGAGCGATAAACATCCGGTGACAAAAAGTGCCACCTTACGGATAAGGATCACCCATGGAGAGGTACCAGAAACCTACTCATCCGTTAGGTTATATTTGGGCTCCCGGCAACAGCCAGGGTGGCGCTTCAATATAACGAAAAATTGCATCCTACAAAGGGACGACTCAATGCAGAAATTGCAGCAATAGTCGTACATTTTACCCCACTAGGACATCACACTCTCGATAAACACCCGATGACACAAAGTGCCACCATGTGGATGAGGATAACCCGCGGAGAGGTCCCGGAAACAGCGTTCAGCCATTAGGCCATATTTATGGTCGGGCTATATTGTGGCCCCTGGCAAGAGTCAGGCTGGGGCTTCAGAAAAACGAAAAATGGCATTCCACAAGGGGATGACAATAAAAAATACTGCAGCAGTAGTAATAGCTGCAGCATATCCATAATTTTGTAGTCATCATTGCCCCCACCAAACATTAGCTATTTACTCCCTGAGTCAAGGATGCCAAGAAAACAACCCCCGCCCCCCCCCCCCCCCACCCCCAAACACCTTCAACCTCCCCCCCCCCCCCCTAAAAAAAATTAACACAAAATCTATGAATCCTTTTTTTTTTTTAAATGCTAAAAGAATTTAAGTACGCATATATTACAAGTCATTTAGTACTGAACAAAAAACGTCTGTATCAGTCACAGTAACATGTGTCTCCCTTTAAATAATTGCAACCGTCTCCGTTCTTGCAGCCAATTTTTATTCTTAGCTCCATTAAAATCGTTTAAGTCTTCCAATTATTCTCTCTCTCTCTCTCTCTCTCTCTCTCTCTCTCTCTCTCTCTCTCTCTCTCTCTCTCTCTCTCTCTCGCTGAGAAGATTCTAAAAAATTGTTTTGTTTCCGCGATTTGGCTTTGCTTCCATCTATTCTCTTAGCGTGAGTGTTTTGTATTTGAGTTTGTTCTTTTGTTTGGGCTTTCACATACTGATCTTGAAATCAAATATCTCCAATAACGTAAATTAGCCACAGTTGGCATAAAAATTTTTGTACTTTTCTCTCTCTCTCTCCCTTCTCTCTCTCTCTCTCTCCCCCTCTCTCTTTATTTACACACACACACACTCATATATATATATATATATATATATATATATATATATATATATTATATATATATATTATATATATATATATATATATATATATATATATATATATATATATATATATATATATAGCCTGGTAGTACACAAAGCTATGTATAGAAGACGAGAGTTCGACTCTATTGTGAGGAGCCTCTTCCTTTCTCCTCCACCTCCTCCTTCTTATTCTTCTTCTTCGTCTTCTTCTTCCTTGTTGGCTCTTAAAAGGACCGTGGGCATTTTATCTTGAGGTTTGCAGCTAAGCTGTGATATCTACATCTTTCGGTCCAACACATTTGGTCTAAGGAATGTCTCAAGTAATGATATTTTTCGACAAGCTTATAACGGGGCAGCAGTTTAAAATTTTTTTGTTTCAAATTGCGTGTACAAGATAAAAGCTGTTTGTTGCCTTAAATCAAGCTGAGGTGGGAGTGGAGCCAGAAACACCGAGGAAGCAGGATACAATAGGAAATATGAATAAACAGACAAAGAAAGTGAGGTAGTGAGAATGACAGATTTGTGTATTTAAAAAAATGGGGAGGGAGAGAGACAAATAGGGAAGCGAAAACAGAAAGAAAGGAAAGAAACACAAAAAGTAAAAAGCAAAAGAAAGACATACAAAGAAAAAGAAAAAAATAGAAAGAAGGAAAGAAAAGAAATACAAAGAAAAAGCGACAGCTGACTGGGAATATGTGTGCATTAAACAACCAAAGAAAACAAAAAGAAAAGATAGAATGCAAGAAGACATGGGAAAAGAGAAATAGTATATAATCTCCAGTCTTTAGGCAGATATTGAATTAAATAATTATCGTCTGGAAGATTAGTCTTTGCGAAGGCCGAAAGTAGACTGGCCTGCGTGCCCAACTTGTGACCATTTGAAAATAAAGATTGTCAGTTCGTTCGTTCGTTTGATCGTTCGACGGCATAAAACTTCACAACTAGAGAGAGAGGAAAAAAACAACTTCCAATCATAGTGAAAGACGTCCTCTACAAACCCTCCACCAAGCAATTACGCCAAACTTAAATATAAATAACCTCATTTTTTCCTGTTTTTCCTCTCGATTAAACTTCTTTTTTTAAAGCAACTGAATAAGTACCTTTTCCTGGAAGCAAATAACTGATAATTGCTTCAATTTTGACGCTTTTGTTTCTTGGCATTCCAAAACAGAAATTCAACAAGCAATTTAATTCTCTCAGAAGTTTGTAGAAAACCCGGACAAACACCATTATCTCGCTGATTTGAAAGTTGTTTCTACTTGAAGTTAAAGACTGCGCAAAGCTTTCATGTTGGGAGAATTAACGTGGAAGGAAATGAATAAATTGTGGGCACTATGGCTAACAGACAGGGATTATAAGTCGCCATGTTTACGTTTTTGATTGTGTGTTGCTAGATCCAAAAACTAAACACAGAATAATAATGATTATCATGTCGTAAGAGGCGATTAGAACGAAAAAGAGAGATGAAGAAGGAAGGAGGAGGACAGGAAGAAAGAAAAGAGGCGGAAAAGAAGAAAAAGATAAACTCTGGTATATGACTTACCCGTGGTTTGTTTGTCTGTTTGACTCCGATCGACGGCTGACTCCTCGAAGGCTGAACAAAAGGAAATAAAAATAACAATAATTATTATTATACTATAACAATAATTAACAAATATATCACACGGATGAGTATTTACAATTCTTGTTAGGAAATCATGAAACACTTAATAAAATTACATTAAAAATAACCTCCCCCCCCCCCCCCCCCCGGCCCCCTTCAAGTTAAGATAGCATGTTATTAGGGTGTGTCTAAAATGCTAAATATAACACAAAATGTGACCAGGAATGGAAAAGACGCACACAAATACAACCGAACGTTTCGACCAAAGTCTTTATCAACGGAGTACTAAATACAGCACGGACTGTGGCTGCAAAACTTAACGGACAAGACAACAGCTAATTATAAACCAAGGTAAACATGGAACCAAGCAGTCAGTGATTTGGGTGGGGGGGGGGGGGGGGTTAATTAATGAATGAATGAATGACTTTCTACCCCACCAGGACATCACACAAGCGATAAACACCCGATGACACAAAGTGCCACCATGCGGATGAGGGTCGCCGTGGAGAGGTCCCAGAAACCGCGTTCAGACATTTGGCCATATTTATGGCCTGCCTATATTGCGGCCCCTGGCAAAAGCCAGAGTGGGGCTTCAAATAACGAAAAATTACGTCCTAAAAAGGACGTATGAGAATAAGGGTATTAATATAAATGGCTATAATACGAAGCGAAAGAAGGCGTATGTAAAAAGAGGGTAAGAAATATGAATAAGTTAATTAAATGAACAATTAAATAAATTAAATTTATTTAGGCTGCGCTGGATATTGTAAACAGTTTGGCCCGCATTTCAGTCTGTTCCTGGCAACATAATCAGGAATAGAACTTTGATGGTCAACCAATTGAAAAAAAAAAATTTCGAAACCATGGATCAAGTGGATTTCTTGTGAGTTTTTTCCGGTCCGGTCTTAAATCCAGCATCTTGTAAATGGGTCTCCTTCTCATTCGTCTCATCATCATCCTTCTCTTTCTTCTTAAATTTCTCTTAGAAGTGTTGGCTGTCGAAGGAGAGATAGGTTCCATTTTTTACTCTTCTGACCACCTCATCCATAGACAAATTATCATCTTGTAGAGTTTCTCTGATGTTATCGTTCCACTCTGTTCGTGGTATACCTCGTGTTTCACCCCCTCTCTTCCTTTGTTGTAGGCCTTATGCAAATGAGCTGTCTTAGCAATGTCTTAGATTAGCTGTAAAATGGAAGCAACCATGAACACGTCATCAAATGGTTTGGTAAGATTTGATCGAGGGCCTAAAGCGCTAATGAAAGATGAAAGTTAGAACAACAAAAGACAATAACGGCCTGCTTTTAGAGATTGCTAAGTGCTGATCTTTAATGCATGCAACGGACAGAGGGACTCCATCTTTGTATACGGCTATCTGAAGGGACAAGAAACTCTGACCACGCTACGCTACTCGGGGATACAGCGGAGTTCAATTTAATAACAAGTAAAATAAGTAAAGGGCCACTTTTCACGCCTTTATGCGTGTTGAGCATATAAGACTGGACTGATATATTATAGAGCAATCGTCACTTGGTGGGTAATTTGCTCAGCATCACGCCAGCCGCCTTTACTTCCCAGGATTGTTTAATTTATTAGCGCCCCTTAAACCTATGCCTTAGGGTACTTAAAACGATGATTTGAACCAGGTCGTATTTTAAGCTCTATATTCGCTCATATATTGCCTTTTAAAAATCTCATTTTAAAGTGCTAATGATAAAATACAACTGCTGTGTGAAAGATGGGTGTTTGAAAGGGCCGCATGTAAGACGGGCCCGCGTGCCTAATTTATGACCCTTTAAAAATAAAGTTCGTTCGTTACTGCGCTTTGGGTCCTAGCATGTAATTTTAAACTGAAGCTCAATGTTCTAGAAAGATTTATAACACAAAACTTCATCATTTGCCAACCCACGGTCTGCCAGAAGACGCTGGCTTAACTGAAGTCTAATAAATGATAATTTTGGTGTTTCAGTAAATGATTTATTTTGTACTTGAATAAATTTGTGTTTTGTTTTTAAAAATAAATATCCCCTTATAAACCTGGTTTTATTTTGCAGCCAAACAATATGCCTTACTGAACTTTATATGGAACAAAACCAAGCACCAGAGTGTGATCGGTGTACATCTGGCACACAATGGATAGATTGATCAACAAACACACGCACAGTTCCTGAAAATCATCCCCTTCCTGTCATTGCAAAGCCCGATGAACCGACGCTGAAATACAGTAGGCAAAAAACTGCCGCCCGTGTGTCACCGGGGCCCTCACCGGAAGCAAAGAATAGTGTCACTGCACCCTACCAGGCATGTCGTAAGAGGCGACTAAGGGTAGGATTGGGCTTGAGGTTGGCTACCGCATAATGTAAAAACCATAGCCACAAAAACCAACCAACCATAAAGGTTGTTGCGTATCCTCTAGAGGACGTTGCAGAACCAACCCTAACAGCCCCTGGCTGTTGTGTGGTTTCTCTAGGCAAATTTACGTCCAGTAGTTTACCATTGCTTTCTGGACGGTCGGCTTTCTTGATACCACTGTCGAAACCAACGCAAGGAGCATTGCCCGCAGCTGGGATCGAACCTGGCATCCCGGCATTACGAAGCGAAGTGTTCGCATCGACTTAGCCACAGAGCCGACCAACCAACCATGGATAAGTAAAAAAGAGAAGCAAGTAAAACCCAGCCAACTAAGATGAGATGAGGCTCTTAAAATAGAAGAAGAATGACACGGTGTGGAGAAAGCCGCAAGGAGTCCGGATCGTCGACGTATCTCCTCTCAGCTAGAGAAAGATGGGCAGGACATGGGGATAGCTCCATGCAATAGCGAAGAATAGAACGACTTGACGTCAGTTGGTTGAGGGTCTATGCTCCATTGGGGAATAGAAAGGCATAAGAAGAAGACGAAGAAAAAAAAAAAAACTGCATACACGGAATGATCAAGCAAGGCAGAACTAACGAAAATACAACTGTAGCATCAGGAACCATCGCCTGGCTCAGATAATTACGTTCAGCCAAACGGCTTCTCTATGAGACCGGAAGTAGTTCACTGGCTTGAGGGCGTGTCTACCGCCTCGGTGGTCAGTTTTTCGCAATCTTTATCGACCAACTGGCTCTTAGTGGGTGATGTGGTCAGCATTATGCCGGTAGCCTTTACTTCCAAGACTTTACCTGGTACGCATACAAGGGAGGGCCGACCTGGGAGCCAAAGACATTTAATTTTTTTAAAAGAAATAAGTCTGGCTCTGTTCGGAATCGAATCCGCGACCTTCAGATCCACAGGCGAGCGTCTAGCCGCTACACAATATATATAACTTTACAAAACCATATTTAACTATGTTATCTTATGTTATCACAAACAAGCCCCCCCCCCCCCCCCCCCCCCCCCCCCAGGGTAACTTTGTCTACCTGCCTACTTGACTGGTTACCTTATTATCTACCTACCTACTAGACTGGCAACCTTACTATCCAAATGCCTACTTGACTGACTACCTTACTATCCAAATGTCTACTTGACTGACTACCTTGCTATCAAAATGCCTACTTGACTGACTGCTAACCACCTGCCTATTTAACTTATTGCCTTACAGTCTACCTGCCTAACTAACTGGTTGCCTTGCTAACAACCTGCCCACATGACTGGCTGCCTAACTGACAGGTACTTTTTTTATTGACATCATGCGTGTTCTTGTGTGTGTTGTAACTGTGTGCATGTATCGTGTCTCTGTGTATGTATTGTGTCTGGGTGTGTATGGGTGTGTGCCGCGAGCCACAGCTGCAGCAGAATGACAAAGACTACCTAAAGAAAAGAAAAAGAAGCCTGATTTAAAAATAAAGAAAGACATCCTTGCCGATCCCAGCCTGAAAGACAATCTATAAGAATCAATACCCTTTCTCAGTTCACAGCCCAATCTCTGTAGAACACCTATTGTCAGACCCTCTTCAGTCGCTATTTTCATCATGCAGCGCTCCAGTCTGCCCCTGCTTCCTCTTCTATTTCTGTAACATCTATTTTTCGTGACAAAATGCACCAGGTGTTTGACTCTATCGATAGTTTCTTTGTTAATGAACTGCTTGCATGTGAAACTAACAAGCGTTCAGACGGCATATTGGAGTTGCACGTCCATAGAAAAAAAGGTTGGCTTGCCGTGACAAAGGAAGTATGTTACATGGGAGCCAAGCTTTGCTACAAACGAGGCTGTATACTGAACAATGTTGCTTCTAATTAGGTCGGACTGAATAAAGTGAGAGAGCTGGATTAGTCATCTGCCTGTTATAAATACTTATTGATTTAATGAAGGTGGAGTCACAGACGCGACAACAGGCGAGCGGAGCAAAAGGTGAGCTTTATTTGAAGGAATATTGGCAAACGGAAGGGCTGGCGACACAAACAGACAGACAGACAGACGGACAGACAGACGGACGGACAGACGGACGGACAGAAGACAGATAAATAGAAAGACAGATGACGTATAATATAAATACACATATTCATACATTTTTTCCACGCCTTCGGGCGTTTCAAGGATGTATGGCTAGATCTATATTTTACAGACCAATCGGCGCTCAGTGGGTGATGTGGTCGACAACACACCGACCGCCTTTACTTCCCAGAACTGTTCCTTGTAGCCATTTAAAGGCTGGATTGGACCTGGGAGCGAGTGTCATTTTTGAAAAAAAGGCTGGTTATGTCAGGATCCAAACTCACGGCCTTCGGATCCACAGACTAGCTTCTAGCCGCCACACCAGGGCCTCCTATGTATATATATATGTATGTATATACACACACACACATATATATATATATATATATATATATATATATATATATATATATAAAGAACTCTTTTCTATTCATCCATCCATCCATCCTTATGTCTGTCCGTCTGTCTTTCCGTCCGTCTGTCCGTCCGTCTGTCTGTCTGTCCCTCCGTCCGTCTGTCTGTCCGTCCGTCCGTCCGTCCGCCCGTCCACATGTCCGTCCGCCCGCCCGCCCGCCT